TGTGATTATTATTATTTTGCTTATAGGTCATTCTGCTCTTTATATAAAACCATTTTTACATTTTAAAGAGCAAGACTCAATTAATAATGTAAATTTAAAAAGGGAAATTTTATTCCTTTTTTATTTATTTATCTTTCTTTCTCCCTATACCCTCTTCCTTCATTTCCCCTCTCTCTTGCTATTATTTTAGTTTGATCATTATATGAAAGAGTTTAGTGTACAAGTTCATTCATTTATTGATAGTCACAGCTCTAATGTCCATATACAAACAGAGGAATAACAATTATTAATTATAACATGTATAAAACTAAGTATTATCACTAGTATCATTTTTATTTCATGTACAAGTTGTGTATGCATAATTGCATATATATATATATATATATTATGAGTATATTTTAGCCCATTCATTCTGCAATGGAAGCCAGGTGTATATAGTTGATATACAACTCCTTCTTTAATATACAACCACCGTCATTTAAAATGATTAAATAAGCTAGAAAATAGTATATGAACAAGATGATATGAAAGTGAATAAAATGAATAATAAGCAAGAGTTATGTATCGGCACGAAGAAGGATTTCTAGAAAGCTGCACGATGGTTTTAGGTAGTCTCGCGGGCCGACTCCTGGTTGGGGGTGGAGAGGAGTCTGGCATACATCTCGACTTCCGCTTGTTCTCCTGGAATGCGGAAGTCACGTGGGCTTGCTAAACCACGCAGCGGAAGTCATGTGAATAACGGTTACGCCCCAGTCACACGTGCTTCAACGTGAGTGAGTAAGATGGAATGTCTGGGCTGTGGTAAACTTACTGTCCTTGGAGATCGACGTGTTCTTGGTAATTCTCCTGCTATTTTTTCAACTTGGAAGTACCTGCTGCTAACAGATGAAGGAATAGACGAGTCTCATATTGCTAGCACAATTAAAACACACATCTTTATGTGTAAAAAGTGTCACAAGAATTATGAGAAATTAGTATCACTCCATGGCAGCATAAAAGAGTCTCTCAGTATTGTAAAATCAGCTGTTCTTGGCATTGACTCAGGCACGAACACTACAGCTGAAGTTTCTCAAACACTTAATGCATCTGGGAAGAGAACTCTCTCTCACTCAACTGCAGCTGCAGTTGTACCTTTGGCAGCAAAGATGCCTAGAACTGATTCAGAAGCAGAGGAACCAAGGAAGCAGACAGTTGTTGTAAGTAATATTTTACATTGTACTAAAAATTGAAGAGCTTGATTGCTTTGACTGTACTTATGATTTACAACAAAACTTTTGTATGTTACAGGTTACAGTTTGTGATGATGAAAGAACAAAGACATCAGTTATGACCCCTTCACGTGCTGCTGATGTAAAGTCATCCGCAAGAGGTAGTTGGCGAGCTATTGTTAATAGAAGCATGAAGGATCCTTTAAGAAAAGGCTACATTTTAAAGTGTGTTACCACACTTTTGAAATATGAACTTAAGAAGTTTTGTTCCAAAAGCCGACCTTTATTAACAGGCCATCGCCCACAGCAGTTGAAGAATTTTAAGTGGATAAGCATTGTTAATAATGCAAAGATGTATATGCCGGCACTTTTGAAGATTTTGCGAGAATGTTTAAAGACTAAAACTAAGAGAGAGAATGAAACATCTGTGATTGGCATGATTATTTCCATTATAGCAAAGCAAAGAGTACCTCAGTTGTGCTTGCCACAAAAAGTTATATCACTTTTGCTGTATTCTGGACATTGCTCAAAGAAGGTATATTTGCATTAGCTATAAGCATGTATTATTATTGATTATATTTTAGGTGCTCAACCGATTAAACAAACCCAATATTTGTGTGTCTCATTACACTACTGTGAGAACACTAGTACAACTTGGTTCTGACCACGACCGCAGACTTAGGCAGTGGAGAGATGAGTTAGCTACAGGCATGTGCTTACGTAGTGATGATAATTGTGAGGTATGTGACATATTTTGTGATGAACATATTAGATGTATATGATTTATATTGACAGAGCAATGTGGATGACAGTAACTTCCCTGTATTGGAACACAACCCTTTTGACTTGGTAACTGATGATTCAGATGGTGAAGATGAAAATGATAACACTCTGAAAGATACGTCTCAAAGTGAAGCTGCAACATCTGTGACATCGTCAGCTGATGAGAGACTGTCTGTCCAAATGATGTCAGAGTCAAGTGATGAGGGCTCGCCAGTTCCACCAGCATATTCTGATATTTCCGTTGACGAGGAAAGTGACATAGAAGCAAATGAAGCTGATGAAGATACTGATGAAGGTACATCACTAACAATTCTGACTATACACTTTTATATATTTTTTACAAATAGAAGGACATTTTGAGGATGTATTTGGTTTTAAAATAGTAGGAGACAACATTGACAAGAATGTGAGACCGAGACATAATCGGGAGGATAGGAAAACCATTTCCATGCATTACTATCACTCTTATGCAGTATGTGATAGAGCTAGCATTTATGGACTATCCGATGACATCCCTAATTTAAGAAACACCAATCTGCTGTCGATACCTGTCAATGAAGTTCTTCCTTCTTCAGCAGATGATCAAATTCTCAAACATAATTTCACTGTACTTATTTCCCGCATTCTTGTGCAACACCTACAATTTTTTGCTGACAACTACAATGATGTGGTTGATAGGCATATCAAGCACATTTACTATAAAGAAATGAGTGGCAAATCTGATGTAGTAAGCTATGATTCACCAGTTGTACATGTCTAATCATCTATTGTGATTAGGTTCCTTTAGGAATTGAGCTCTATAATGAGGCGAATCATGATGACATGCTGGCAATATTGGAGAGGTTAGATGATTATACACCTAAATGTGATGGTAAGTCATTGAACACTTGATCTTCAGCATACTAAATTTCACTGTAGATCAAGTCCAAAGTATTTTACTGGGAGGTGACCAGATGTCGTGCGCCATGGCTAGACGAGTCATTGCCGATAGGAAAAACTCTAGAACTGATTCTCAGTGTTTGAAAGGTATCATTCCAGTTGTAGAAGATTGGCACAGCAAGCTTTGTTTCTTAACTGTAAGTTTAATGTATAGTAACAAAAAAAGTTATAGGGATTATGTTTACTGTAGGCCTGTTTCAAACTACTGTATAAAGAGTCATCAGTTAGTGAAAAGGGAACACTTATCCAATTGAAGATCTTGCTAGGCCATAATCGTGTCACCTTTTCCCAGCAGAAGATCACAAATTTTGATGCATGTGACGATTTTTTTAAGATAGTTCTATCATCTCATGTCGTAACTGCTGCAATGGAGCTACTTAACATGAAGAATTTTGAAGATACGCCAGCTAATGATGAATTGTTTCCAGCAGAGGCATGGCTTGAGGGCACTGAAACAAGAAAAGATGTACTGTACCGTTTTTCTTCACAAATAGTTAAGAGATTTGTTGACGTTGACACAAGCTTTGATGTAAGGGAATCTCCAAGTAATAATGAAGACAAAGTACTTGCATATTCAAAGTTGTTGATGTCACTGGGTATGATCTATTTGGAGTATTGTGATGGCATAAAGGAAGGGGATGGTATGAGAGTGCTACGGTGTTGGCGATATATGCTGTTGATCTTCAAGGCTACTGGTAGAACTAACTATTCTATTGAGGCTTTTAATATGCTAGCCCAGTATCACTTCCTCCTCTCGAACAGGCAGAAGCATCAGTTAATTTGGGGTAGGTTCATTAATGTTCATGGATTACCTGCCAGGAATATCCCATGTGACCTCTACATGGAACATTTAAACAGAGTAGTCAAAGAGGCATTGAAAGGGCTTGGAGCAAACAAAACTGAAAAAGCAATGGTATATGTAGGAAAAGCTGTTGGAGCACTTGATTCAGTTCACAAAAATTACGACTATGACAATTGCATTAATGAAGGGTCAGGAAGTCACAGAGCAGCATCATTTTCAAAGGAATTAAGAAAGGTTGTCAAAGTCTTACTCAATGAGAAGGCATTACAATTGACACTAAACAGGACTCATAAGTCTTTTGAGGGAATTGTTAGCAATCCAATGTCACACATAGACTTTGAAAACTTATTGGATTGGATGTACCAGCATTTGAATTTATTAATTCATGGTTTTTAGGTCATTAATACTCAACCTTTAATCACTTTAAATAGTATTAGTTATAATATATTATTTAGTAATTGTTATTAATAATAATATTTAAGTTTAATAACGATAAATATAGGAAAATAGAATTATAGAATAGTAATAGTATTAGCTAAGAATAAATAGAATTATAGAACAGGTTTGGTCAAAGTTACAGTTAGATCAGGAGCAATGATAATAATAATAGTTATAATAACAATAATAATAATAATTAATTAAAAGAACAATTGAAGCAAGAACATATAATTGAACATACATCACAACAGTGACACCCTCTGTTATAACTTGGTGAATATGAATCAAATTCCGAAAACAAGAAATTTCTTCTACATAGATCATTACGCCTGCAGTACTCTAGCATAGTCTTGCTTGTGTTTCGCATTAAGTTTCTCCCATACAGAACAGTGGCAAAAGAAGGAAGATTGTCACGACCAGCACGCCCTATTTGTTGTACATAATCTTCTACATCACTTGGTGGTCCAACATGTATGATTTCTCGCACATCAGGACAATCGATCCCCATACCAAAAGCAATGGTAGCTATGACAATACGAAGGGGAGCTGTTTGAGACTGAAAAGACTTCAAAATCACCTCCTTCACTTCTGGATGCGTCCCAGATGTAAACATGTCCACAAGACGAGACTCAATACTAGCAACTGAAACTCCTCTTGGTTCTGTAAAACCTTCACGTAATATATATAAGAAATACGAATAGATCTGACTACACAGAGCTATTTTTTTACAAAATATAATAACTCTTCCCATCTTCGTCCTCTCTTCTTTCAATCGTTTGGCTAACAATCCAAATGATGCTGGGATTGAGTCAAATTCATTACATGACAGGAATATGTTAGGTTTGTCGGGCGATAATTGAACAACATGAGGATTTTCCATGCCTAGTCGAAGACATATTTCTAGTCTAGATCTTGTTGTGGCAGTCGCTGTTAGTGCCATCATGTTGGTACCAGTGGGGATCAATGCCCTTAAATGGCCCAACTCTTTAAACATTTGACGAAAATCATCACCCCTGTAAATAGAAAGATAATCCCTATGATTTAGTATCAAAAAGTAAGCAGCATTCACCAAGTTTTTACACAGTGCGCTTCATCAATTACTAATCCAACTAGCCTTGACTGATAAAGATTGCTGTCCAGAACAGAACGCCATTTCTTCGTACCCAATATCATCTCTGGACTGATGTAGACTATCTGAAACCCTCCCTTTATTGCCTCCTCCTCACTCGATTTGTCATCATGTGTCACTGCTGCTGCTGCTACACCTCGTTCCCGACAACTTCTCACTTGATCTTTCATCAAACTGTTTAATGGAGAGATTACTATTACAATGCTGTGACCAGGACTTTCCTTCCTCAGTAAATCAAACAATTTGGGAAGAATGACAAAACAGGCACTCTTCCCAAACCCTGTAGGAAGGCAGGCAAAAATGTCCTTCCCTTGACAAAAGGAAAGAACAACCTGCTTCTGTTGATCTTTTAACAATGGATATCCACAAGATGAGGCAGAATCACGTATAAGAAGTTCCAAAGCTTCTTCATCAAGGTGGTACGCCATTTCCTTACGTAATTGTCATGTGATAGGGATGACGATGTAGTGACGAATATTACATGGCATGATCTGATTGTCCCGGCATATACTGGGCTTGAGAACAAGCGGAAGTCGAGATGTATGCCAGACTCCTCTCCACCCCCAACCAGGAGTCGGCCCGCGAGACTAGTTTTAGGACTGTATGGACTGCCGTTCTTTTGCCTACATTCGACAATAAATTTGCACATATACTACAAAATTTTTCTGGATCTCCCTACACCAAATCTTCCTCAGCTCAGAATAACGTTCTGCCCGGCTCCATCCATGATCACACTCAGTGTGATACTGTAACCAATTACTAAATACCGACGGTGCCCAAGTTTGAATTTTCTCAGTGTTTTTTTTTTTACAGAGAACTTTCGGTCGGCTTTCAAGATCGTCACGAGGTATCTCCTGAAAACGTTTTGATGGTAGTTCGGCGGATAATTTTGACCTCTTCCTTAAAGATAGCAATTTTCTATTCTTATTCTGTCTAGAAATGGGTTTGTTCTCCTTCTCAGCCATAGATGTAAAGGGATTCTTTCAAAAAAGAGGAAAAAACAGAGAGAGTGCTGACAGACATTGAGTGACATGTGGACAGTGTTATTGAGCATGCGCACTACAAAGCCACACCCTTTAAAATGGCAGCTTCCATTGCAGAATGAATGGGCTAAAATATACTCGTAAGATATATCATATATGACATGGTTTTTCGGAGTATATGGAGTATATAGCCCTGCCTCGGAGTATTTGCAGAAATATCGCCCTCGGGCCTACGGCCCTCGGGCGATATTTCTGCAAATACTCCTTGGCAGGGCTATATACTCCATATCAGTACTCCTCAAAACCATGTTATATATTATACATATATCTAGGAAG